AAATAAATGTCACCAATTATTTTAATATTTGAGATGAATTCATCCTACCTACAATGTGTTGACATTTAAGACCTCTGAAAGCTTGATTTATAACATTTAAGGCTAATTAAGGCCTAAGTTTTGGATTGATGAAGTCAATGCATTTTAAAACCTTTGAAGGATCTGCAGGAATCCTCCTAGAACAAAAAGTAAGGAAGTTTGTGTTTGGTAGGTTATTTCTTTGTTGTAACAAAGCTGCTTGGCAATAAATCTTATACTGTTGGAAAGTCTGTTAATTTCCCTTTTAAAATGTGCCACATTTGTAATGAGCATGCATTTGTGGGATGAGCAGTAGAGCTTAGAATGTGGGTTGTGCACATGTCAAATCTTCCCTGTCAAACAGCTGATTTTGCTGTTGACACTTGAGCTGCCAAACAGGTGGCTGCTATAAGATTTATTACCAAGAAGCATTGTTACAACAAAGAAATAATCTACCGAACACTAATTTTATCATTTTTGTGCTGTTTAGGAATTGACTCTTTTATGCTCATGAGCTCACGGCTTTACATTTAACTCTAAAATGACTTTGTCGTACAAAACCGTTCATGACAGTGAAGTGAAATACAATATGAATTAAATGAAAATAAAAAGTTTCAAATGTTTAAAGGCACAAAGTTAGAACACAGTTAGAAATATGAGCTGTGCAGGACAACACTGAGTACTTTGGGGGAAAACCAAGCAGCAAAGCCATAAATAAAATTTTATCATCATTTTTACAAATGACTAAAACATTAAAACAGAGATGCATTATTTAAATTTTTTTTTTAACTTTCTACCAAATCTTAAAACAAACTTGGATTCATAGTTTGCGCACTACTGAAAACTGCTGCAGCTCATTGTGATGTGACCAGACCAGAAATGTGCTTGAAGATTCCCTTAAAGCAAAAAGCAGCGTCACTTATCTGATTTGTGTGACTTAGTGTATTTCAGGCTAAAGTGCGACTGTTACAAATCTACACACGGACATTTCAAACAAGTCGTTGACTCACCGTAGAGCCTGCAGCCGTACGTCTGCAGGCTGTTGAGAAGATCTTTGTTGCCTCGAGACGCTGCGGCCTGGATGGAAACGATGAGCTGAGCAGAGAGCGTTGGGTTCCGGTGGCCCAGCTGGGACAGCTGCAGAGGAAGAGACGCCAACCATCGACACAACACCTTGCTCCTTCAGACAAAGGCACAGAGACAAAACAGTTGGTGTGTATTCAAAGATAGAAATTCAGGCTGAAAACTGCTGCATTTTGTTTTACTTAAACAACCATGACCACTAGAGCTGGGCGATACGGCCTAAAATCAATATCACAATATATTGACCAGTTCACCTCGATAACGATAAATGCACGATAACTCTTACCATCACACATAAGTACACAGTATAGTATAGTCATAACACTATCATACACTGTGTCCATGTTCTTAGTCAAAGTACACAGTTTAGATTTTGAACAGCTTTTCTGTCGTTTATATTTGTCATTTTAATGTTTTTAATATCCATCCATCCATCCATTTTCTGTACACGCTTCTTCCTTTTCAGGGTTGCGTGGGTCACATCCGCCATATCCAGCAGTC